GGAGAGAGAAGAGGGGTAAAATGCTAATGTCTTTCACACATTAAATTAAGGTACTTACTCCAAGCTTATTGACTAGTCTCTTCTTAGACTCGTCGTAAATGAGTTTCATAACTTCGGGCGTGTATTGGACGAGGGTGAAGTCATAGTCAAACCCATACACATTAATGTACCTCAGGGAGAGCTCAGAATTAGTGAAAACTGACCTTGGGCTGACAGTTCGACCAGCAAACTGCTCTGTGGATTGGAAAAACATATAAACAATATCATCACAATGAGAAACATAAGCAGAGACATAATTATGTGTAAGCAGTAATGGGTGTAGTCTCATACTGTATGTATAATTAGATATATAATGTGTGTCCCTCTGTGGTGTCTATTGAAGTAACTGTTTACAATTCCGTATGTCACGTGTATGGCAGTAATCTCATTGTGTGATGTCCCACTGCCAAAAGTAGAGCTATTACTACTCAAACTGACTACTGCTAATTAAAAACTACTCTAAATCAAACTGATATACTATACTGTTACTGTTGTGTCATTGATGCAAGCAGATATAAATCACATAGCGTATAGTATTACACACAAGTGTACGTATAATGATAAGACTATGCACCGTCCAGTACATACTGTGTAATGTGGTAATCTTCTCATTATACTCCTCAAGTAGGCTCTCTGGCGTCACTCTCTGTTCACTTAGACATCTCTTGTAACCAAATCTTTGTCTAGCCGCTCCACATCTGAGGATAATACGAAACGAAAGCATGATCTTCTGAGCCACTTCAGTTCTTAAGTCATATCAATCCTTTGTCCCCGTCCCGCCTTAGCTGATTAATATTCATATTGGCGCCATTTAAGGCATTTGAATTAATTAACCACGTGTTGTCACTGTGCAATGGTCCAATAATGGAGGCTATTGATGAAGAATGGTCTGATGCGAGGCGACTCTCAAAAGAAGAAACACTCCGTCTCATTGAAACTAAAGTATTAGAGCTTCTCCGTGCAGTAAAGCAAGGAGAGAATCCGTCAATGACTCTGGTGAATACTGACAATTTAAATAAACAGACCCTAACAGCATGAATGCATGAATTGAGTGCTACTGTACAGCGTATATTGTATAGGTGAATCGTAGTGGCAGTAATGCACTGAGGGATAGAAGAGGTGTATTACATCTTGGACAGCACCGAACAACAAGGTACTTATTCCCTCAGAGAGCTGTAGGCAGGACTGGTAGACTCAGCCTCCGAAATGGAACTCAATCATTTGCAAGAAGTACACACATGCAGTGATTAAGTTAAATTGCTTCTATATTATGCTGCAGTTTGGCAAGCATTAGCTCTTGTGTATCAGCTAGTGCAAGAAGGGAAGACGGCTACACAGCGAGAAGCATACTATTGTCTAGTGAAACACTTTAAATCCCAGACAGAATTCAACAATACATTACAAGGCATGCAAGCTCTGCGACTTGTTGCATATCATATGTACATACATTAATAGATCTTGTTGCATTCATTGGATGTACACGTGATTCATTAGGTATTTGTGCTAGCAGTTCGGGTGGGATAGCTGGACTTCTCCTTTGGAAAGTATAATATATAAGTGTGCAAACTAGTATTTGAAATATTATTAGGAAAATGGTGGAAATTGGGAAAATTGCTCAACCAGCAGCAATGGAAAGAGGGTGAATTTTATTTTTTAATATCAAAATGAACTATTCCTATAGATACCTGGCTCTATTGATGATACCACACATCAGTTTAGGTCAATGGGTGCAAGATACATATTAGTAGTGGAGAAAGGTATCACTATAATAACTTTCATTTTATTATTGCAAGTCGTTTTATGAAGATGCTGTGTTTACTTATCTTTGCGGTCAACGTATTTGGGACAGTCTTCCCTGCATTTTAATGACTGGGTGTGGCTATCCATCGCTGAGCGTTCGTGCACTATTAAAGCAACTCCAGACCCAGTTCGATCTCCCAGTACTT